ACAAGATCAAGAGATCGAGACCATCCTGGTCAACATTGTGAAACCCTGTCTCTGCTAAAATACAAAAAATTAGCTGGGCATGGTGGTGCGTGCCTGTAATCCCAGCTACTCGGGAGGCTGAGGAAGGAGAATTGCCTGAACCCAAAAGGCGGAGGCTGCAGTGAGCCGAGATTGTGCCATTGCACTCCAGCTTGGGCAACAAGAGCGAAACTTCATTTCTAAAAAAAAAAAAAAATTTTCTGAAAGTGGTGTTTTCTGATTTGCCCTCAGATAATTAGATATAGAAGGTAGCCATACATTTTTGGCTAACTCAGCATTCGTTGCTCCATTCAGCGAATTCATCTTTATATTCATGTTCTTTCTCTCCAGCTTAATATCCAAAATTTAAAAGTGAGGAATGCAGAATAGTTGAACTAAAAGAAACAGATCAACCACAACCTGCCGCTTCTTCCTCTCACCCAAAGAAAACCATTGTTAACATTTTGCTATATTCTCATTAAGGTACTTTTATTCGAATATATTTTTGATCATAAAATTGTCTTAGACAATAAGTTGTCAGAGAAGAACACCCACTCTTTTTACACTCCAGGCTTCCAGCTTGAAGGTGACTGACTTGGGAATCCTGTATTTTAACAAGATATGATGTTGATATGGAATCTTTTATTTGACTGTTCTGAGGTGTTCTCTTTTAGCATACTCTCCTTCATCCCCTTCTTCCCTGCTATACACACACATACACATTCACACATACACGCATTCCTTTCTTTCTCTCTCACATGCACATTCTCATACGCAAATACAAGCATGCTCATACACATGTGCACACACACAGGCACGTGCATACACACACTCACACTCATATGAACCAACATGCACATACGCACTCTCCTTTATCTCTTTCCTCCCTGCTACACACACATACTCTAACACTCATATGCACATGTGCACACACACATATGTACAACATGCAATGTGTCAGAAGGCCATGTAGAAAATGTTACCCTCCAAAAGGAAGGACACCCACACTTTTGCAATGGAAAAAAAACAGCTCTGTTTTTGTAAAAAAAAAAAAAAAAAAAAAAGAATTTCTATTAGGCCTAGAAAGAAACTTAAAAAGTGTTTCTTCTTTTATCTAATCGGAACTTGTGTATGTGCACACACCCGTGGATGAACCAACATTGACATATCACTGTCACCCATAGTTTATAATTGACATTAGGGACCATTCTTGCTGTCGTATATTCAGTGAGTTTTGACAAGGGTGTAATGGCATGTGTCTACCGTTATAATAACACGCAGAGTAGTTTCATTGCCCTAAACATCCTCTATGCTCTGCCCATTTATCCTTCCCCACTTTTCAACCCCCATCAATCACTGAACGTTTTGATGTCTCTATAGTTTTGCCTTTTCCAGAATGTCATATAGTTGGATTCATATAGTAAGTGGTCATTTGAGATTGGTTTCTTTCACTTAGTAGTATGTATTTGAGTTTCCTTGTCTTTTAATGGCTTCATAGCTCACGTGCTTTTTTTCTGCAACAAAAGCCACATTCAAAGATTATTGCTTTCATTGCTGAATAATATTCCACTGTGTCGATGTAGAGGTTTGTTTATCCAGGCACTTACGAGTCTATAGTAACCAGTGTGGAGCCTGGGGAAGCCATAAATGGCCTGGTTGTGGCGAAGGCCTGGAGCCTATGTCGATAGGAGCCATGGAGGTTGGAGGCATTAGATCTTAGAGCCATAGGGGAAGGCCTGGAGCTTGGGTTGACAGGGTCTGTCCCATAGCCTGTGGCTATAGAAACCTGCCTGGTGTTGAGTTCACTGAATTGTGCCTGGCATTGGAGTTGATGTTGAAGTCAGGTGTTACATTTACTCTCCTCTCTGCCCATACATGGTATCTCTTTCCATGCTGCACTACCCAGGTTTAGGGGCGGGGTAATGCAGATAATAGAAAACTCTCTTTTAGACTCTATTTTATGCTCTACTCCACAAACGTGCTATAACCTCTCACCTGGATTCCTTGTCTCTTTTGAAGACACTTTGATGCACGGATGGCTGTTCAAATTGATGTTTCTGTGAAGGAATAAGTGCTGAAAAGTTCTGTTTTGCCATTTTGTTTATGGCATTCTTCTCTGTTAACTGAAAAAATATTTTTACTGAATAACATATTGTTAAAAATTGTCATACCTTTGGTTTAGCTCTGGAAGTTTCTCCTTCAGAGCAAGTTCCTTTCATAGTTCTCTATAGAAAGACTATAGTTGTAAAATGTTGGTAGAGATGATATTTTGTGTGTAGAATTAAGGACCGATTACACATAAATGTTTAGCGGACAGTAAACATTTGTGAGTAATCTGTTCTTACACACAAAAAGAAGGTCTATAGCTTTAGGAAAGGGAAAATTATCAAGGTTATTCAGACAATATAAAATGAGTTGAGAAAATGGAAGGGAATGTTTATACTTGAAGACAAAATAAGGAAGCCATGGGAGAATATTTGCATTCTCGGAACCACAAAAGTGAGGAAAGCCAAGAGCACAGCTGGAGTTGCACCAGATCAAGTAGACATTCCATCAGAGCCTGAACTGAGAATGCACCATTCCTAGTCACCTTGATAACAGCCCCATTTTCTGTTAATAATACTCTATGAGAAAAATCTTGCAAAAATAGTCAGAAAAGGCAGAGTCACATGCGGTTCAGTGTGTTCCACCTTGGCAGACGGTCTTAGGAGTTTTGGAAGGATCGTGCTGCAGGCAATGGATGAGATAATGATGAGAAATTTTCCAGCTCTGTATAAAAAGGCAAGCGAAATATATGCTTGTGAATTTTTGGCTGCTTTTTTATGCTGTATTTTCAGATCAATTTTATCCCAGTTAATGTGAATATAAACTCTGATTGTTATGGCTATCTCTCGTGGGGTGTCTATTATTTTGTCAGAAATTGTATTAAATTACACATTTCCAAGCTGCATATGAATTAGGTATTACTATGATCATTTTACAGATGAAGAAGATGAGACTCAGAGCAATACATAAGTTGCCCAAGGTCAGAGAGCAAGTAAGTACCAGAAATAAAAGCCAGACAAATCTCATTCCCATATCCTTGCTCTTTCAATGATGTTTCAGAGTTGATTACAAAAGGAATTGTTCTGTGTGCTCAGGATAATTTACTACCTACTAAATTTAACCATAGGGCAGTCTTATAAACAGGGTAGAGTATGCAGTTAAGATAAAATTTGAGAGGAAAAAATTAAATTAAAATAGTACATAACCAATGATCAGAATATTCTCTCAGTATTTTAGAAATTTATGTAAGAATAAACTAGATACTGATAAAAAAGTCACATTCTTTATGCACAAATCTTGTAAGTAGCTACTGTTAAGGAGAGGATACTATTTACCTAGAAGAAAGTGGGGTTGTCAACCACTATATAACCATTCGTGGGTGAATGTCTTTTTTATTTTAGGCCTCTGGCTGATGGATCCAAGAGGTAGATGCGTGATGTCAAAATATTCTCTTTTATAGGTAATTACAATTTACAATGGAAGATACAGAGGCCACAAGGTAGTAGAGTTGAGTTATATTAACAGAAAACCTTGTTAGAGAAAAAAACCTCCTCTCACTATCATGTTCAATGGCAAAGATTAATAGAAGGTACAGCAAAATGGACACACATGCGAGTATACCCACATTGATATTGGAAGTAACTTTTTTCTTATATACTATAAATCATATCCCAGAATATACTCATAATGTGTACACTTATTGGGATATTACAATCAACGTACAAAATATGTACCATATGTACATTGACTGTGATGTACATATGTGTACACAATACAGATGTACAAAAAATGTACATAATCTGTACAATATGTACATTTATATGTACATAATGTGTACACAGTAGGTATGTACATAATGTGTACAATATGTAAATATATGTAATATTACAATGATTTCATATAATCAAAACAGCATATGTAATCACAATACACATATAATACATAATATCAATATAAATGTACATATTGTACACATTATATACATTTACATTTATTGTGGTATGATATGTACACATGTACATCATGCACACGTGCAGATTTGCAGTATATACACGTGTACATAAGTGTGCACAGTATGTACATATGTACACTACACATATGTTCATATAATGTAGATATGTACCTTCTGTACAGGAGTACACAGTATGTACAATATGTACACGTATATACTAGGTACACATATAGGTGTATACCCACTTTGGTAACCGGAGAGATTTCTATCTAATATACTAAATATAAAATCCCAGAATGTAGTCATAGTGTGTACATTTATTGTCGTATTGTGATAAATGTATTAAATAGGCACAATCTGTACATGTACTCTGCTGTACATAGGTGTACACAATGCACATGTACAAAAAATGTAATATGTACCTATATATTTCTATAATGTGTACACAATGCATAGGTACATAATGTGTACACTATGCCCATTCCTTAAAATATCAGTGATAAAATATATATAATCACAGTAAGATATATAATCACACTAATACATATATGTCGTGTAATATCACCAAAAAGTACGTATTGTACACATTAGGTATGTATTAGGTACATATGTATACTGCACATATTATGAAAATATATATGTATCATGATAAGACCGTATGTACACGTATACAAATATGTGCCTACTATTTAAACAATGTACACATGCAGAAATAGGTGCAAACTACATACCTATGCACAGCAGGCTATTACTACAATTCTGCTTGTAGCAGCCTCAATGCCCACCCTGGCTGCTTAAAGACCCCCGGCTAGGGGGCTGTACCCACAGCCCCTGCCAGAGGGCCCATAACAGCTACCAGGACCACGCTGGCTGCTTAGGGACCCCCTGCCTAGGGCGCTGTGCCGGGGCCCGGCTATTTTGAAAATGTGGTGTAATATGATACTGGCAACCTATCACACAGAAATGATAATGTTATTGTGGTTCTTTACATATTAGGCAATAGTTCTAGTTACACATTTGGCATATTGACAAAAATGTCATCCTCACCCCATTGACATTAGAATTGAAAGCATAGGAGGGTTTCACCCCTTGCAATGTTTAATTCAATATAATTGTTTTCTTGTTTACATTAGTGACCATATCAGAGCACGGTGTACATCTCTTGCAGTATTCAGAATATTTCTCTACGGGCAGCAACATTTTTCTCTCCTTATCTGGATATTAGGAAGAATATCACAGGACCGGCTTACAGCGCCAGTCACATCGTGAGCAATGTCATCTGTAATCCCCTAGTTATTAAGAACAATGTAACGGGGGTCTTGTGTGCTTTTGGAGATATTTGGAGTAATATCCTTTTAGTTTCTGGATATTAGCGATATTAAGAGTATACTCATCCTCTGTCCCTGGGATATTAGGAACTACATCGCAGAAGCCTTGCACTTTGCCTATAATATTGGAACAATCACAGAGTGTACACCTTCTTTCATTGTGAGAGAAATACCTACTTAGGATATGATGGATAATATCACAAAATGGACACACATGGGTATATACCCACTGTGATATTGGAAGTCATTTTTATCTAATATACTAAATGTCATAACCCAGAAAAAACTCATAATGTGTACACTTATTGGGATATTACACTCAATGTACAGAATATTTAACATATGTACATTGACTGTGATGTACATACATGTACACAATACAGATGTACAATAAATGTACATAAACTATCATTTGTACGAATATATGTACAAAATGTGCACACAATAGGTATGCACATAATGTGTACAATATGTACATTTATTGTAATATCACAATGTTATATAATCACAACTGCATATAAAATCACAATACATAATATCAATATAAATGTACATATTGCAAACATGTACATTTACATTTATTGTGATATGATATGTAAACATGTACATCATGTACCCATTATGTACAGATGCACAATATATGCAAGCGTACATATGTGGGTACAGTATGTACATATGTACACTACACATGTGTACATATAATGTAGATATGTACCTTCTGTACCCGAGTACATTCTATGCACAATATGTACGCATATAAACTATGTACACACCTGGGTGTACAACCACTTTGGTAACCGGAGAAATTTCTATCTAATATACAAAATATAATAATTCAGAATGTAGTAATAGTGTGTACATTTATTGGCATATGGCAATAAATGTATAAAATAGGTACAATCTGTACATTTACCCTGCTGTACATATGTGTACACAATGCACATGTACAAAAATGTACATACTCTGTAAAATATGTACCTACATATTTCTATAATGTGTAAACAATGTATAGGTACATAATGTGTACCACATTCCTTAAAATATCAGTGATAAAATATATATAATCAAAATAACGCATATAATCACAGTAATATATATATCATGTAATATCACAAAAAAGTACATATTGTTCACAGTAGGTACGCATTAGGTCTATATGTATTGTGCACATATGTACATATATATTTATCATAACACCATGTGTACACTTATACAAATATGTGTTCATTATTAAAACTATGTACCTGTGCAGAACAGGCTATTACCACAGCCCCCCTCGTAGCAGCCCCAAGGCCCACCCTGGCTGCTTAAAGACCCCCTGGCTAGGGAGCTGTAACCACATTCCCCGCCAGAGGGCCCATAACAGCTCCCAGGCTGACGCTGGCTGCTTAGGGACCCCCTGGCTAGGGCGCTGTGCCCGGCTATTTTGAAAATGTGGTGTAATATGATGCTGGCGACCATATCATATGGAAATGACGTTATTCTGGTTTTTGATATACTAGGCAATAGTTCTAGTTACACCTCTGCCATATTGACAAAAATGTCATCCTCACACCCCTGGACATTAGAATTGAAATCATAAGGGGGTTTCACCCCTTGCAATGTTAAATTCAATATAATTGTTTTCTTGTTTACATTAGTGACCATATCAGAGCACAGTGTACTCCTCTTGCCGTATTCAGAGGATTTGCCTATGGGCAGCAACATTATTCTCTCGTTCTCTGGATATTAGGAACAATATCACAGGACCGGCGGACAGCCCCAGTCATATCGTGAGTAATGTCATCTGTAATCCCTTAGTTATTAGAAAAAATATCACGGGGGTCTTGTGTGCTTTATCAGATATTTGGAGTAATATCTTTTCCGTTTTGGATATTAGACACGATACTACAGTGGTGGTGTACACTTCCTGCGATATTCAGGGTATAATAATCTTTTGTCCCCAGGATATTAGGTAGTACATTAAAGAAGCCTTGTGCTTTGCCTGTGATATTGGAACAATCACAGAGAGAGTAATATCTACTTAAAATATGATGGATAATATAAAAAAATGGACACACATGGGTGTATACCCACTTTGATATAGAAAGAAATTTTTATCTAATATACTAAAAATCATATATCACAATATACTCATAATGTGTACACTTATTGAGATGTTACAATCAATGTGCAGAATACATACCATATGTACATAGAGTGTTATGTACATATGTGTACACAATACAGATGTACCAAAAACGTACATAATCTGTACAATATGTGCAATTACAGGTACATAATGTGTACACAATAGGTATGTACGAAATGTGTGCAATAGGTATATTTATTGTAATATTACAATGATATCATATAATCACAACAGCATATAAAATCACAATACACAAGTAATACATAATATAAATGTACATATTGCACACATCGTGTACATTTACATTTATTGTGGTATCACGGTGTGTACACATGCACATCATGTACCCATTATGTACACATGTACAAAATATGCACATGTACATATGTGTGAACAGTATGTGCATGTGCACACTATGTACACATAAATACATATAATGTTGACATGTACATTTTGTACATGAGTACCTAATATGCACAATATGTACACGTATAAACTATGTACACACCTGGGTGTACACCCACTTTGGTCAATGGAGTAATTTCTAATATGGTAAAAATTATATTTTAGAATGTACTCATAATGTGTACATTTATTGGCATATCACAAGAAATGTATAAAATAGGTACAGTCTGTACATTTACTCTGCTGTGCATAGGTGTACACAATACACATGTAGAAAAAGTGTACATAATCTGTAAAATATGTACCTATATATTTCTATATTGTGTACACAATACATAGGTATATAATGTGTACACTATGCACATTCCTTAAAATATTAGTGATAAAATATATTTAATCACAATAAGATATATAATCAGAGTAATATATATTGTCTAATATTACAAAAAAGTACATATTGTACACATTAGGTTGCATTAGGTACATATGTATTTTGCACATATTATGTAAATATAAATTTATCGTGATAACTCCATATGTACGCATGTACCTATATACGCCCGATATTAAAACTATTTACACATGTAGTAATAGGTGAAAACTATGTACCGATGCACAGCACGCTATTACCAAAGCCCCCCTTATAGCAGCCCCCAGGCCCAGCCTGGCTGCTTAGAGACCCCTGGCAATTGGGCTGTGCCCACAAACACTGCTCGAATGCCTGTAGCAGCCCCCATGCCCACCCTGGCTGCTTAGGGACCCCCTGACTAGGTGTCTGTGCCCACAGCCCATGCCAGAGTGCCCGTAGCAGCCCCCAGGCCAACCATGGCTGCTCGGGGACCCCTGGCTGGGTCGATGTGCTCACAGACCCCACCAAAAAGCCCAGAGCAGCCCCCAGGCCCACCCTGGCTGCTTAGGGGTCCCCTCGCTTGTGGGCTCTGCCCACAGCTGCTGAGGCCCAGCTATTTTGAATCCGGTGTAATATGATACTGGCAACCATATTATATAAAAATGATAATCTTATTCTGTTTTTTTGTATATTAGGCAATAGCTCCAGTTACACCTCTGCCATATTGACAAAAATGTCATCCTCACCCCCGTTGACATTAGAATGAAAATCATAGGGGAGTTTCATTCCTTGCAATGCTTAATTCAATGTAATTGTTTTCTCGCTTACATCAGTGACCATATCAAAGCATGGTGTACACCTCTTGCCGTATTAAGAGTATTTCCCTATGGGCAGCAACATTTTCCTCTCCTTCTCTGGATATTAGGAACAATATTCCAGGACCAGGGTACAGCCCCAGTCACGTCGTGGGTAATGTCATCTGTAATTCTCTAGTTATTAGAAACAATATCACGGGGTGCTTGTGTGCTTTCTGAGATATTTGGAGTAATATCCTTTCCGTTTTTGAACATTAGAAACAATACTAAAGTGGTGGTGTACACTTCCTGCGATATTCGTCATCCTTTGTCCTCAGGATATTATTAACTACATCACAGACGAGTTTTAGTTTGCCTTGATATTGGAGCAATCCGAGAGTGTAAACCTGCTTTCACAATGAGAGTAACACCTACTCAGGATATGATGGATAATATCACAAAATGGACACACATAAGTGTATACCCACTTTGATATTGAAAGTAATTTTATCTAACATACTAAAAATCATATCCCAGAATATACTTATAATGTGTACTCTTACTGAAATATTACAAACAATGCACAGAATATGTACCATATGTACGTTGACTGTGATGTACATATGTGTGCACCATACAGATGTACAATAAATATACATAATCTGTACAATATGTACATTTATGTGTACATAATATGTACACAATAGGTATGTCCATAATGTGTACAATATGTACATTTGTAATATCACAATGATATCAGAACAGCATATACAATCACAATACACATGTAATACATAATATAAATGTACGTATTTCACTTATGTACATTTCCATTTATTGTGGTATGACGATGTGTTTACATGTACAGCATGGACCCATTATGTACGCATGTACAATAAATTCAGGTGTAGATATATGTACATAGTATGTACATATGTACGCTCTGTACCCATACATACATATAATGTAGATATTTACCTTCTGTACACAAGTACATAATATGCACAGTATGTACATGTACAAAATATGTGCACACATAAGTGTACACCCACTTTGGTAACCAGAGTAATTTCTATCTTATATTCTAAATGTAATATCACAGAATGTACTCATAATGTGAACATTTATTGGCATATCACAATAAATGTATAAAGTAAGTAAGATCTGTACATTTACTCTGTGTACCCAATACACAAGTAAATAAAATGTACATAACATGTAAAATGTGTTTCTTTCTATTTCTATAATCTGTGCACAATGCATAGGTACATAATGTGTATAATATGTACATTTGTAATGTCACAATGATATCCAACAGCATATATAATCACAATAAACGTAATACATAATATAAACGTACATATTGCAAACATTATGTATATTTACATTTATTGTGATATGTGTACACATGTACATCATGTACCCATTATGTACAGATGTACAATATATGCATGTGTACATATGTGTGCATAGTATGTACCTATGTATGCTGCGTACACCTATGTATAATGTAGACATGTACATTCTGTACATGAGTACATAATATGCACAACATGTACATGTATAAACTATGTGCGCACCTGGGTGTAAACCCACTTTGGTCACCGGTGTAATTCCTATCTAATATGCTAAAAATTATATCCTAGAATGTACTCATGTGTACATTTATTGACATATCACAATAAATGTATAAAATAGGTATAGTCTGTACATTTACTCTGCTGTACATATGTGTACAAAATACACATGTAGAAAAAATGTACATCATCTGTAAAATATGTACCTATTTATTTCTATAATGTGTACACACATAGGTACATAAAGTGTACTCTATGTACATTTCTAAAAATTTCAGTGGTAACATACATATTATCACAATAAGATATATAATCAATAATATGTAGATATCACATAATATCACCAAAAAGTACATATTGTTTATATTAGGTACGTATAAAGTACATATTTATTGTACACATAGTATGTACATATATGTTTATTGTGATAATATTATATGTACATGTGTACAAATGTGTGCCCATTATGTAAACAATCTACACATGTAGAAATAGGTGCAAACTGTGTACCTGTGAAGAGCAGGGTATCCCCACACCTCCCGCCAAAGGGCCTATAGCAGCTGCCAGCCCCACCCTGGCTACGTAGGGACCCCCTGGTTAGGTGGCTGTGCCCATAGCCCCTGCCAGAGTGTCAGTAGCAGCCGCCAGGCCCTCCCTGGATGCTGAGAGACCCTCTGGCTATGTGGCTGTTACCACAGCCACCGCCAGAGGGCCCGAAGCCCACAAAGGGCCTGTAGCAGCTGCAAAGCCCAACCTGGTTGCATAGGGACACCCTCGCTTGGCTGCCATGCCCACAGCTGCTGGGGCCCAGATATTTTGAAAATGTGGTGTAATATGATACTGGCGATCATATCATCTGTAAATAATAATTTTATCCTTTTTTATTATATAGTAGGCAATAGCTGTAGTTACACCTCCGCCATTTTGACAAAAATGTCCTCCTCACCCCCTTGAAATTAGAAGGAAAATTATAGGGGGGGGTTAACACCTTGCAATATTTAATTCAATATAATTGTTTTCTTGTTTACATTAGTGACCATATCACAGCACGGTGTACTCCTCTTGCCGTATTTAGAGGATTTGCCTATGGGCAGAAACATTCTGCTCTCCTTATCTGGATATTAGAAACATTATCACCGGACCAGCAAACAGCCGCAGTCATATCGTGAGTAATGTCATCTGTAATCCCCCAGTTATAAAAAACAACATCACGGGGGTCTTGCACTTTATGAGATACTTAGAGTAATGTTAGGATTTGGGTATTATACATGAGAGAGCATATTGAGTTGGTGTATATACTCCAAAACAGAGTAGAACAGGGCATTGTATACATTTTTTGACAGATTATATTCAGAGCAACTTTGCTTTTAAAATTGGGATGCCTACATAATATTTAGATTTTTTTCGATTCACGTAAATTTACAATTTCGGTATTTTAAATGAGAGAGAATATTGAGTAGGTGTACATAATCCATAACAGAGTAGAAAAAAGCATTGTGTATTTTTTCTGACAGATTATATTCAGAGCCATTTTGCTTTTAACAATTGGGGTGCTTAGATAATATTTAGATTTTTTTCGATTCGCGTAAAATTAGAATTTTTGTATTTTACATGAGAGAGCATATTGAGTTGGTGTATATACTCCAAAACAGAGTAGAAAAGAGCATTGTGTATTTTTTCTGACAGAATATATTCAGAGGAATTTTGCTTTTAACATTGCCTAGATAATATTTAGAATTTTTTTGATCCGCTTAAATATAAAATTTCAGTATTTTACATGAGAGAGCATATGGAGTTGGTGTATATACTCCAAAACAAAGTAGAATAGAACATTGTATATTTTTTGTGACAGATTATATTCAAAGCAATTTTGTTTTTAACATTGGGGTTTCTAGATTATATTTAGGTTTTTTTCGATTCACGTAAATTTAGAATTTCGGTATTTTACATGAGAGAGCATACTGAGTCGGTGTATATACTACAAAACAGAGTAGGATAAGGCATTGTATATTTTTTCTTACAGACTATATTCAGAGCCATTTTCTTTTCACTTTGGGTCGCCAAGATATTATTTAGATTTTTTTCGATTCACGTAAAATTAGAATTTCTGTATTTTACATGAGAGAACATATTGAGTTGGTGTATATACTCCAAAACAGAGTAGAAAAGGGCATTGTATATTTTTTCTGACAGAATATATTCAGAGCAATTTAACATTCGGGTGCCTAGATAATATTTACATTTTTTTCAATTCGTGTCAAATTAGAATTTCCGTATTTTACATAAGAGAGCATATTTAGTTGGTGTATGTACTCAAAAACAGAGTAGAAAAGGGCATTGTATATTTTTTCTGACAGATTATTCTCAGAGAAAATTTGCTTTTAACATTGATGTGCCTAGGTAATATTTAGATTTTTGTCGATTTGCGTAAATTTAGAATTTTGGTATTTTACATGAGCGAGCATACTGAGTTGGTGTATATACTCCAAAACAAAGTAGAAAAGGGCATTGTATATTTTTTCTCACAGATTATATTAAGAAAAATTTTTCTTTTAACATTGGGCTGCCTAGGTAATATTTAGATTTTTTTTGATTCGCATTAATTTAAAATTTCGGTATTTTACATGAGAGAGCATATTGAGTTGCTGTATATACTCCAAAACAGAGTACAGAAGGGCATTGTATATTTTTTCTGACAGATTAATTTTGCTATTACCATTGGGGTGCCTAGATAATATTTAGATTTCATTTGATTAGCCTAAATTTGGAATTTCGGTATTTTACAAGAGAGAGCATTTTGAGTTGGTGTATATACTCCAAAACAGAGTAGAAAAAGGCATTGTATATTTTCTCTGACAGATTTTATTCAGATACATTTTCTTTTCACATTGGGGTGCCTAGATAAGATTTATATGTTTTTCGATTCGCGTGTATATACAATTTCGGTATTTTACATGAGAGAGCCTATTGGGTTGGTGTATATACCTTAAAACAGAGTAGAAAAGGGCATTGTATATTTTTTTTGACAGATTATATTCCGAGCAATATTTCTTTTAACATTGGGGTGCCTAGATAATATTTAGATTTTTTTCAATTCACATAAATTTAGAGTTTCGATATTTTACACGAGAAAGCATACTGAGTTGGTGTATATACTTCAAAACAGCGTAGAAAAGGGCATTGTATATTTTTTTGACACTCAGAGCAATTTTGCTTTTAACATTGGGGTACCTAGATAATATTTAGATTTTTTTCCGATTCGCGTAAAATTAGAATTTCGGTATTTTATATGAGAGCATATTGAGTTGGTGTATATACAGCAAAACAAAGTAGAATAGGGCATTGTATATTTTTTCTGAAAGATGATATTCAGAGCAATTTTGCTTTTAACATTGGGGTTCCTCGATAATATTTAGATTTTTTCAATTTGGGTAAAATTAGAATTTCTGTATTTTCCATTAGAAAGAATATTGAGTGGTGTATATACTCTAAATCAGAGTAGAAAAGGGCATTGTATATTTTTTCTGACAGACTATATTCAGAGCCATTTTCTTTTAACATTGGGGTGTCATGATAATATTTAGATTTTTTTCGATTC